CGCAGGCTGGCAGAGTGCCCTGTCAGTGCCAGGCCTGTCCAGAGGGTCTCCGGGTGACCGCGGCAGCACACGTAGAGAGGGACACGCAGGCTGGCGTGCTGCACACTTTGTCTATTTGTCCAAAGTGAAGCCTGAGTGCCAGTCTCATGACTGCAAGCAGAAGCTGCAGGCCTGGCGCCCGCAGGCTGGCAGGAGGAGCAAGCAGACTTCCTCCAGTGGGCGAGGCAGCAGGGCACCACTGCACCGGCTTCATGGAGATGAGACTCCTGCACTCTGAAGGGCGTTGCTAAGGAACTAAAAAGCCAAGCCACACCCTGGGAGAACATAAGAGGAACCTTTTGCCTCAATCATATAGACAACCATGTTCTAATCATACTATGTATAATCATCTATATATGATTCACCAAGAAGACAAGGTGTTAGTTTTCAGTTGCTATAACAAAATCCCAGTGGTGATATATATTTAAAAAGAGAAAAGGTCTGTTTTGACTGCATGTCTCAGTGCCTGGTGGGAGACCAAGCCTTCCACACACAGGGTACTGGGTGATATCCAGGGCCCAAGCCCTAGCAACCAACAGCTCAGTATTTGTTACCACGCAAAAGCACTGAATTCACTGAAACGTGTAGATCTCACGCAGCCAGGGCTCCACACGGCTGGAGTTGGGCAGAGACCCGTGAGAGCCACGCTGAGGAGCCACCACGGTCACGGAGCAACGGGCACCCACCTGGGCTGCCGCGGGCACACTGCTTCTTTGCACCTGTGAATGTGTGACCCAGCAAGCCCACTCCTGGGTGTGAGCCAGGCGCAGAGCGGGGACGGCCACAGCAGAGCTGCAACCGGGAGGCAGCAGCAAGCTCACTGGGGACAGTAAGGACCAGAATCCACGCCGGTGCCCACTGGGGGCACGAAGCTGCACTGCGGTTGTGTGTGTGTGAAGCTCTGAACCGCAGTCAGGACAGGAAGACCAGGGAGGCCGAGCCAGGTAGGAGTGGCCCCCAGCAGACGCCCCTCCCGTGCCCACTGTCCCTGATGCCTCTGGGTGTGGCCCC